CTACGGGAGTAGGTGACTACTGTACATTTATTGATGTTTAATGGTAACCTATTTAAATCACACCACTCACTAAGAATGTCCAGTTGACGTTGAAGGTGCACACAGTCGTGTATAGTTGCAATAGTAGAAAAGATTTTAAAATCGTCAGCAAACAGTAAACTACCACAATTAGTAATTTTTTCCGGCAAATCATTAATAAAAATTAAAAATAAGAGAGGTCCCAAATTGGACCCCTGAGGTACTCCAGTTATATAAGACGAAACGAAATTGTTATAAGTTATCTGTTGGTATCGATTTTGCAAATAGCTCTTAACCAGAAGTTGTAAAGAAACATCAAAACCAAAGTCATCTAATTTTGCTAAGATAATGTCATGAGCAATTGAATCAAAAGCCTTGGCAAAATCAGTGTAGATACAATCTACCTGCCCACGATTGTCAAGTACAGTCTCTATAAATTGGGTAATGCAGGTCAGGTTAGTGGCCGTGGATCTGTGCTTTATGAACCCATGTTGAGCTGGAGAGATAAATCTTATCACAGATGGATAAATTCTACCGTATAACACTTTCTCATACACCTTGGCGAAGGTATTTAATCATACTATCGCCTATAGTTCATACATACTGCGATCGCCACTTTTTTTTTTTGTCTTAATAGACATTTGGAAATGTCACAAATGCGGCCGGTAATTGGTAAAGTGACGGTGCGGCCGGTAAAGTGACAGGTGCGGCCAGTAAAGTGACAAACGGCAGAAAACGTAGTCTGCTATGCCTGTCATGGAAACTAAAATTTCCTGACAGAAAGTAAGCATGGAAATGAAGGTTTCAGGACGATTTTGGGTAATAGAAAACTATTTAAAATACGATTTTTAGCTGTATACTTACAAGGACTTATTAATATTTGACACAAATCTAAAAAGGGTGGAATTTAGGTTTTGTTTAGAGAAAATGCAATAGTGTAACCTTAAAGTTAAAAAAAAAACACTATACAACAATATTAGCATTGCAACGCCGCGCCGCCGGGCCCACCTCGACGGAACCCGCCACGACTGGGTACGCATTCTGCATTACACCGGCTGAATCTCGCAGGCTCTTCAACAAAGTACGTACTATGTCATATCATTTTAAAGGTAATAATGGGAGCTACAACTTTTGTAGGCAACATTTTTTGATAAAATGTCGGCGTGAAAATTTCTGCGACAAAAAGTAAAATTACGTGCCGAAAAATATACTACTTTTTACCTTTTCATAGTCATTACCAACAAACGGTAAAAGTTACGACGAAAGTCAACTGAACTTATTTGTAGACAATGTTATAGCAAAGAGAATAAAACAAATTGCAATCCGATATGTTGTTTAGTAATCGAGAGAGACGCGATTTACGAAACCCCTACACTTTTCATGTTCATGGGAGCACAGGGGGTGGTGAAGCAAGGGGGGTAGAGGCGGGGACTTTTGGCTAAACACTTGTCTAAATGGTAGTAGTCAATGGGGAAAAAATTAGCTTTATACTATTTTTTTCCCACTAAAAACACAGGTTGACTGGACTAAAAGAGTATATACCGACTCTTTGGTAAAACCAAAGAGTATAAAACTCACGTGTCACTCGTTCCGTGAAATTATTAAACAAAAATTTTTACGCAAATGCTAAATTCTAATTTATTTGATTATTCCGATTACCCGAATTCAAAAATAATAAATAAGGGCATTAGTAGACGCAGAATTTTCAAGTTACAAGAAACCTATTTACAACTTTGCTTTAAATCAATTAGGGGAGAAACGCCTCGTCCGCCGAAATGTCTCAACGCCGAAACGTCTCGCGTAAGAGTTCTGGGTATTCTTTGGTCTCGCCGCCGAAACGCGCTGCGCTGAAACATCTGTCTTCGCGTACAAACACGAATCCTCTAATAGTAGGGCCGGGGAGCTACCTCGAAATCCACTGAATGAGAATGATTAAAATTTTAACCGACGGAGTTCCACTTTGGCCTATCCGAGTATGCTAAAATCGATCGTCTGCCGCCTCAGGTTATATGACTTAAGGCGCTGCGATACTTCTTGCAGTACCAATTTTAAATGGTTGTTTTTGAAGAAAATAGGTTATACACCAAATGAAAACGTTGATAATAGCTCTTAAAAAAATATCTTAAAAAATCGCGAGACGCGAAGTCCGTAAAAAACAATTCTTAGGGGTTTTTCACGAACTTTCTACGGATAGGTATAACTAGGTTACGGTTGGATGAATAAATCTGAATTTTTACAGGCTAATGGTAGGTACTGCCATTGCATATACAATGGTACTGCCAATGACTTGACCATGTTTCTATATACTTAATTTTGTCGGTGCAATTGGCTCTCAGATAAGCCAAAGTGAAACTCGGTCGGTTAAAATTTTAATTACTCTCGTTCAGTGGATTTCGAGCTAGCTCCCCTACTATAACCGACTGGTTATAAATACTTACATTGTCTGTGAAAAAGAAAGTTAGGACCACTAAAACCTCATGTGAGTCATGCCTCGCAATCAATGAATTTTAGATATGTACATACATACTACGACCATTTATTTCTAAATTTCACTGTCATCACAGATTTACGTAGCTAGCTACAGCACAGATATATATATCTGTGCTGTCATAGAAAGACTACCTACTTCCATAGAGGATTTCCTCTATGCTACTTCCAATACAATATTTAATTAGTAGAACCATTGTTTAAATACCATTGTTTAGTATTTAAACAATGGTAGAACCTAGAACTGGTTTACAATAAATTAATAGTACTTTGTTTATTCACTACTATTTCGTATTTGTATACCTACCTACCTATTGCCTCGTTGTCAAAGAAGTACCTAAGTATTGTCAGGTAAAGTCGCAACTTATTTCGACATCAGAATATCAAAACAAATCGTGGTTGTTCCGGTTCGTCATCCTTCGCCAATCACATAATCGGCAATTATGCAATTTGCCACTAAAGACCAATGCCACCAAGCAACGCTAATAAATGAAAGTGAACTGTGTTAATGTGCAATTGCTTAGAGAACGAGTAGTTATTGGAATGTTGTTTTTATGGTAGGTACATCAGAAGTAACATCCGTAGTAAAACGGAACTTAATTTTGTTACCGCTTTGGATTATTAACACAAGCTGGTTTACGTTTACGTCTCTGGCGCTCCCTGCTAGACACTCTTCGACAATTCTTGATCATTTAATAACTGGCCTAAAAAATCGTTGTAATGAAAAAAAATTATAAAATTTAAACTTAAATATGTAGGTATATTACCTAATGCTCTTCAGGCGTCGCAGATGATAACATTTTAATTGATCATTTAACATTAATAATAAATGAGTACGGATAACCCGTCGTTAGCAGAACTTTTGGATGAAGTGCAGCTATACACTGTGTCCCAGATAAGGATGTCTATTATGGGGATTTCGGAAACCATAGAAGATATGAAGAAGAAGATATGAAAGTCGAAAACTGTTGGTTTAACAAGATGGTGTACTCGCGCAAAATGCCCTAATCATGCAAGAATACTTATTGGACAAATTTCGTGAAAAAAATCGATTTGCACATACAAAAAGAAAGCTGGAATTTGTCATTAAGACATTTTCTGGTTTGTTCTTTTCTTATTTTATTAAAAATTAGTTATTTGGTTCAATATATTACGTACTATGCCAAAAATGTTCTATATGTTTTTACGTATAATAAATGTTTTTTTTAATAATTATATTCACTTTAAAAATTATATGCGCCCCTCCCTACACAAAATCCTAAATCCGCCACTGCAAAATTCTTCGCAAATGTGGCAAAATTCTTGAGCATTTTCAAAAACGTAAATTGGTGCATAATTAACGATTTTAATGTCTCTTGATCAAATCTATAGTCATTGGTGGTCATAAATCTTCATTGGCTCATTTGTATGATCCAGATTCAGAGAAGACATGGGAAAACCGTATATGTTTTTATTAGAACCAGTTTATATGGTTAAAATTTCAAAAAAATATATATATAACTAAGTAAATTGCGCACATCTTATTTTTGATATTGGCGATACGTTTGCCTTTCCTAGAAGCATCTGTAGTTAAAATTTAAAAAAAAATAGCTGTGAACAAAGACAAAGATCGGTGACAAGGAAATTATATAAATATTTATAAAATCGAAATTAAAGAAAATCGATAAAATATCATAGAAGAAAGAAGAAACAACCTTTTAGCATAATTGATGAGATAGCATTACCGAATATAAAAGATTGGGAAGGAACCTCTAGAACGATAAGAATAGTATGTACATGATGGCATACAATTTATCCAGCACCGAGAAAGAACTGTAATTTGCCTAGGAGAGAGTTTTATTGGCAGTTTTTTGCAAATATGCAAAATATGGAAATGGAAATGCCCTTGTTATAAACTCGTTTATAAACCACTACTCTTCGATTGATTTCACTTTTGTAAACATACGTATTTCCACAAGCATAACTCAGATAAAGCTGTTTCTCAGATGAAACAAATGTAACACTACGGCTCTAGCGAAGTATAAAAGGAAATAAAAAATTCCCTAATGAAGTCTGTTGATTTAAACAGAAGAAATACCAAATTTTCGGGAACTTATTCCAATACAATAAAATTTAGAACCAGGAAATACAGTCTAAAGCTAAACGATGCTAAAACAATTGTTCTAATAAATTGGCTGCTCCTAAATAAGTTACCTACTTCTGTGAACTATATAAGTAAATAATAAGCCTTTATTAATTGGTAGGCTATTTGTGATATTATTATATATTTCAGAAATAAATACTGTCATATTAGTCAGTTGTGTATGCTATGCAGTTGATGCAGGAATATCAATTACAATATAAATTTATAACATTCTTCAGTATTACTCGAAAGTCGAAACGTCTTTAATACCTATGTAAGAAAAACTCCTGCCGGAACAATATTGCGGTAGAGAAATGTGTAAAACAGAAAGAGAAAGCATAGCATTAAAAAGAGGTTAAAGAACTTCACTCACCTTATTTGTACAGCAAGTTTCGTTGTCGTTTGTATCCGTTTTAGAAACATCGCATTTTGGTGGAATTGAAACAGTCATAGTGAAATCGGAGCTCAGCTGTCCCTTTCACCTATCATTAAAAAATCTATTAAAACGTGGATTTAACATTTACTATTAAATGTGTGCCTATTTATTATCGCACCTTTTGAATAATGACTAAACACAAATGATATTCTTTAAGTTCATGAAACGAAACCATGTCAACTTTTCCAAAATGTAAGTTCGTCTTTGTCCTCATTTTTTATAGTTTGCTTGATGTATAAAATAGGTACTTGTTATATACCTACGTACGGGGCTTTCATTTCACAACAAACAATCTTATACAATTCATAATTTTGATAAGAAGGAAAAAATTGCAAAAAACAACTAATAATAGATCGCAGATAATGCACTAAAATTGTCTTTAGATACCTACAGCTAAACAAGCCATATGCCTAAATAACGATTTTGATACCTGTTGTCGACGTGGTCGACTTCCTATCGGAATTGATGCATAAATAACAGTTTTTTTAGCGCATTTTTTCAAAAATACACTATTATATTCGTTATGGCTGTTCGACTGAGATCTCAGCAATTACAATAGCTAGAGACTTGAAATTTTCACTAAAGTTTTCTGCTATAATGTAGATTGTGCAATGTGTAGGCTCTAGTCTATTTTGAGTAGATTAGGTACTCATGAGATAGATAATTTTAAACTTCGATAATAAATAATAATACAATTTGGTGTTGCCGTAATCGTAATGCTTTATTAATAGCATCCTTATAATTCAAAAATGGAGCGATTCATCGAAAATTTCGATAATAAAATACTGATCGGTATTACAAAAAATGCGCTTTCTTCATGCATATGCTGATTTTCAACTTGTTTTTATTAATTCACTAATCCTCACCTCCCCGCCCACAATCGCGATTGCTTATGAATCTTCACAAACAGGGTGTCCCAGATCTAGTAGAGTTCCATGGGTAAGTTTGTTATTAATAAGAACCCGGTAGGCCCTTCTTGAAATCGTGTATCTGTCCATCCATCCATCGACAGCTTGCCAACGGAAGGTCTTAGGGTTTTGAAACATAGTATGGATATAGGATTTTAACAACAACCCTATTGAATTTAGGGTCAAAACGTCGAAGCCCATCAAAGTGACAGGTGTTAAAGTAGAAGGCGAGGTAGAAGGTATCTGTCGGTTTCCTTGACGCTCAGCTGAATAAATTTATTGAGACAGTGTTAAATGCTCAAAATATAACAATATTGTCTGCTGACTAAAATTCCATTTTTCTACAACTGTCAAAAAAACCTGTCATTTTCTGACGAATTTCGAAACGCGAAGTACTAGATTTTTAAACGGTTAATTAATAAGTAAGGTTGCTCTTGACAACGTGCGCGAAACCGTCAACAGTGAAAAAAAGTATTTCGCGCACCTGACAACCGAGCTGACAACGTTGAACTTAAACAGCAAATTTAATTAACAATCGGTTCAGTTGTAGAAAACATATTGTATATAACGCTAGCGCAAAGTTAATTCGCGCATTTGACTGATATTTTAACTCGGCTTCGCCTCGTCAAAATACCTTCAGTCTCAATGCGCGAAATTGAACTTCGCGCTCTTGTTATATAAATAACTATTAGATAATTTCAAACCAGGTCCAATTAAAAGTTATTTAAAGAATACTGAAAAACGTCGATTTGCAAAAAAAATTAAATTTTGATGAAGGAGTTGTGGCATCCAGTTGAAACCCCAATATATTGCTTCAAATGGTTGACATGTAGTAATGCTTACGGAACAAATTAGTACAACCTAAGTACAAGATTCTCGCATAAATATCTGTAGGTATAAATATTGCTGGGATTAAATTTTCGGAAATCGTAATTAAGATTGACAAGGGCGGTCTCCTTTTTGTGTTATTAACTTTCCTAATTAAATTTTATTAATTGTCGTTGGTGTATGTAATGGCATGGAGATTATTAATTGTGCTATACGGGAAAGCGGCCAAGGTTGTTTTTGTTTACATTTTATTTAAACGTAGAAAGTTCTGGGAATTTTTTTGGGCCTTTATCTGTTATCAAATGTAAATGCTTAATGTAATAGGCAGGTAGATGTCATTTATCGCCTTTTCTGTGTAGTTCAGGAGATGAAATTTTTTTCCCTAGAATTTAAGTTTTAATTTATTTCTTAATGTCTGATAACAAATTGATTTAGAAAAATAATCGACCTCTATTTTTGTTGGTCTAATAATGTGTGTTGATGGGACAGCTTTGTTGTCAACTGTGTATTTTTGGTTGTTGTAATTTTTAATATCGGAATAAGGTTTCGCCTTAAATAGGACGCAAACAAGAAAAGCGTCGATTTTTGCCCCAGTCAACGCAGAACTACGTTTTGTCTCACAATTTAAATCAGTTTTTAGCCACGTTCAGTGCCGAGTTACGTTTCATTGATTTTATTCGCTTCTTGCGAGTTCCATCGTTGATTTACGGTCAGTTTGTTAATCATTTGAAGCCACAGCCAGCATCTAAGGTTTTCGTTCAATGTGAGATTGAAAAAGTTTCGTTTGTGAAACCGGAAACCGAATTCGCGGCTAATTATTTTTCTACGTTTGTTCGTGCATAATACAACCCCGAAGTTTTTTATATCTTACCGGCTGCCGGAATTTCGTTTGTCGGAGTTTCCTAAATTGGTTTTCAATGTGACTCAGTTTGAAGTTCAGGTTTTTTATAACGTCCTTGTCTACCAGAAGAGAAGATGCTGCGATTACCCGTTGTCGTTAGTGTAAAGTGTCATTTATGTTAATTGAAATTTTTTTTTGAGAACTCTGTACGGATACCTTTTTATTGGATATTTCAATTTCCGGACAAATAATGTAAGTAGTTAAGTGATAATTTTAGTCTTTTTGTAATAATTGTGTGTGTTGTATTACCATTTTCCTTTTTTGTGTTAAGTTAAGAATGGGGGTTTACAGTATACCTAGTTGAATTCCGCAGTTCTAATTTAATAAGCTTGTACCTGAAACCATAAAACATTTTTTTGGACAGTAAAAGTTTATTTAAAAATAGAGGCTGATTAGCAAAAAAATAATGAACTTGTGCGGTTTTAAAGGTTTATTCAAAACGATATTATTGTGGCGGGCTCTGTGACGTAATAAGCCCGACCAATCAGCTCCTAGAACCATTCAGATGACATAACGACTTGGCAATATTGCAGGAGAATGGCATTTATAACTTGCGTCATCTGCAACAGGCACTTGTCACTTTCGTGCTAGATGCAGTTAAACATCCCTCTCAAAACGTCAAATGTGACAAACGTCAGACCCTCGCGTAAGGTTGCCAGCTCACTGCTAGGTGATTGGTTGTAGGTTTGTGACGTATTTAGTCTGAAGCGTTTCAAATTCGGCCTAAAAACACAGCTTTCAATAGTTTATTTTGGGTTTATTTTACTCGCAAATAAAAATTGAGGACACACGGGTCTTTTTATTTTTAATGTACTTTGTGGATCAGAAATAAAAAATGAAGGCGGGATGACCCCATTAAATCGCACTTTTGTAATTTTCACATTAATTTCCGTGAGTTTCATTCACAACGACTTGCCCATGGTCCATTTTGCAGTTCAGTTTGGAGTTTAAAGTATTTGAGTTGACCCACTATCTGTTAGAAGTTAACAGGTTAACTGAGAGCAGAGTCGAATCTCTCCTCTGTATTGGGGAGAAGTTTTGTTCCGTGATCGTAATAAAAGATAAATAGCTAGCTAGGTTTTTGTGTTGGTGTTTTGTGTACGGTCTTTGTGGTCTACGGATCAGTGCATACAACAATATGTACATTCAGGGTTGCTCCCATAAGTTGCGGTCCAAGGTAGATATAGATACCTATGATCCTATAGCAGTGTAAACGTGGCCGATCCCAGTACAAATTAGTACTGTACCGTAAATTTAATTACCTAATTTATTAATATACAATGAATTATTATTAATGATCTTATTAATAGTCCCTAAATAGATTGATTTATAGTAATTATTATGGTTTGCTCACTTGTACTCAAATTTGTAACATAAACTTATCAATCGACAGCGAACTATTTATCACTTCGGCATCGATGTTGGAACTTATTAAACATAATTCAATTAGCTTATATAGCAAACCAAAAGATTCTTGAAAAATCGCTGAACGTTCTCGAAGAGTCTAGAAGACGTATCACATTCCAAGGAAAGATTCGCTTACTATTATTACTACTTCATAGATGATTTTTGACTGAAAGGCGGTATGAAGGTCGTCGGGTGTATGGGGTGAGGCGGTGCAGCGGCCGAAACCGAACGTATGTCTCGTATAAAGAAAACGAGATTTCCCAAAGGCAATACTAGAGTTGGCGGGGTCTGCCAGTAATTTAATAGGTAAAGGCCGCTTGACATGGAGCAATACAACGCGCAAGAACTTGCAGAAAGAAATTGCAAGGTCAAATCCTTGCATGCAATAAGCATTGCATGGTATTTGACATGGTGCAATTCTATTTCAATTGCCACATGTCTGCCAACAGAAGAAACATATGGATTTGTCAACAAAGTAGTTAACCTCAAATGAAAATTAAATTTTGATTGCTTGAAGAAACATGAAAATTACAAGAATAAATAAGATTAATAAAAACAAGTAATGAGTGCGTCTCTCAGCATCATAGTTGCCGCCGCTGTATTTTACTAGGTTGGTGACACAAAAACAACTAGATTTATCCCTAGAATTGCACGATTCATGCAAGAAGAATAGCACCGGTCCTATAAAAATTGCATGCAAGTCTCTTGCAGCAATTGATCAGCTGGCTTTGAACTGCGCATGCCTTTCGCAATTTTTCTTGCAACTTGCATGCAATTGCAATTTTTATTGCTCCATGTCAAGCGGGCTTAAAGGCCGCTTGACATGGAGCAATACTACGCGCAAGAACTTGCAGAAAGAAATTGCAAGGTCAAATCCTTGCATGCAATAAGCATTGCATGGTATTTGACATGGTGCAATTCTATTTCAATTGCCACATGTCTGCCAACAGAAGAAACATATGGATTTGTCAACAAAGTTGTTAACCTCAAATGAAAATTAAATTTTGATTGCTTGAAGAAACATGAAAATTACAAGAATAAATAAGATTAGTAAAAACAAGTAATGAGTGCGTCTCTCAGCATCACAGTTGCCGCCGCTGTATTTTACTAGGTTGGTGCCACAAAAACAACTAGATTTATCCCTAGAATTGCACGATTCATGCAAGAAAAATAGCACCGGTCCTATAAAAATTGCATGCAAGTCTCTTGCAGCAATTGATCAGCTGGCTTTGAACTACGCATGCCTTTCGCAATTTTTCTTGCAACTTGCATGCAATTGCAATTTTTATTGCTCCATGTCAAGCGGGCTTAAGCAATCCTTTTCACCCTCGGAGTACAAGTGAGATGCAACTCCAATTAATCCAATGTCCAGTGAAGTTTTTCATTATCCAAAACGTTGGTAATCATCGAGGTCATTTGTGTAAACATTTTCAAAGCATTCTAATTCTTAAAACAACTAAGTAGGTAGTGTCTAGCAGCCCTAACTAACGACCGTTTAGTCAGTTTAGTGTATTCTTTTTTTATTTGAGAATATCAAACGGTTATTGAAGTTTGTTGCACTCAAGCGCATAAATGGAATAAATACATACTAATTAGGCATTACTACGGAAACAATCAACGATTTGGTTACAGTAAGTAACTTTTTTAATAGAAGTATATTAAACCACACTATACACGACCAAAAGAAAGTGAAGCTAAATGCCGTCATTATGCAACCGTTAAGATATTTGGATTTGGCGGACCGGCAGTTCCGTATGCGAGGTAGGTATTTAGGTAATTTCGGGCCTCGCGCATTTATGTAATAATGTGTAACGTAATGGTTATGAGGAAACATAAATATTGGTGGATACCAGCAATCGACAAGTTGGGAGGGAGGGAGGTATACGATTTTTGAAAATCAAATTTAAGTATACCACTTTAAAAAAGTCGTTAACTATATTCTTTAAATGTTTCTGAGAGAAACTTTGTGACGTACAACGACTATGTCAATTATAATCATTATTGCAGTAAAATAAGTATTTTAGGTAGGTACCCATACATTATTTTCTGTATCAATTACACCAATCCTAAATACTTGTGTCTAATAGCCCTAACGATGAATTTTAGTCGGTACAATAGCTACCTACGATCAGTAAAAAATTTGAAAAGTCGAATTAATTAAACACCTATCGCGCCAAAATGAGGTAGGTAATTCACGGGAAACTAATAGATATAGTGCAGTACTACCAATAAGGTCAAGACTCGCAATAATCGCACATTGTCTCTATGAACAATAAAGAACTTAAATAACACTCAAGTCCAGGTCATTATTCCTTCATAAACTGCTAATGAGTTTATTCAGACTGTATTAATATTTAAATGGGACTATAATAATACCCTAATACATGTCTAAGTGATAACACCGTTGTATATCATTTAACGTAATTCGCATTACTGGCAGAGGGGTTATTGCCAGAAAATTTATTAGCAGAATTTCGAAAATCGTCTCGTTATTAATATTATTGAATTAGTTATTGAAATACTAAACCACGGATAGTTTTATAAAACTTTAAAAATACACTATAAGTATAGGAAAGCTAAAGGGTGGATTTCACGGTCAACTCACCTAGAATGTTTAAATGTTAAGAATCGGCAAATCGCACAATAACTACAGATAGGTATCTAACAAAAGTAAAAAACCACCAAAACCGAGAAATGCTAGAGAGCGCTGCACGAGTTTACCCACATCAAACGATGTGGTACGCAACGACTGAATTGCTCACCTGTTTTCGCATGGTAAGGCTACCAGTGATGTTGAAACCGCGACCTCAATTTAGTAACATTTGTTATGTAGTTTGTAATACGCATACTTCGTACATTTTATTTCTAAAAGGTTTAGTTAACTTTGTAGATTTTTTATTATTTTGTTGCCTATCTAAACAAACTAGGTAAAATTTTTGCGGAAGCATATCAGAAACAATATAGGTAAAACTCCGTACCTACTTATACTTACCCGGTCTGCTGGCGACTGAGTACCTAACAGAATATCCATGGTTTCAGAAAAGACTAAAAATCGAAGAGCTAACATTTTATAGCCTTGATCGATCTAATCAACGTTACATCTATACACAAATAAATAGTTTCGAGGTACCTACGCCTGAATCATAGAAGAGTGAAAGAGTGTAACGATGATTGGGGTATAGGCCATTCATACTAGGTTAAAATAATACTCTTCTACCTGGAAACAATTCCGTAAAAGGTGAAACTTGGCATATATATGGTACTAGCACTACTAGCAGCCAGTAGGTAACAATATATCCAAAATCAACATTCGTGCATGCTGTGCCATGGCCACTATCATACACTGAAGGCCGATTTTCACTTTTTTGATTATTTTTTGGAAATACAAGAAAACTTTTTTAACATAAATTGATGAACATAAAAAATACATGTTTTCATTTCTCATACATTTTGTCTTATCTTATCTCTAATGGCTACTGAGACAACCTTAGATTATTCATATTGGTCTCGGATTCATCCATGTCCACCTTAGGTGAGCTTGCATCGTTTTTTAGCGAAATTTAATATTAGAAGTAGTGTTTCGTTAAATACTGGAATCAACAAAAAACGTGACTGGTTCCCGAGGGTCGGAAAGCGTGTACGTTTCTTCACGCAATTTTTATTCGCCCGATTTGATTATTTGAAGGCGTAGTTTGCCATTATTACAACAATTATCTGCAGAAGTAGGTAAGTTAACCCCAGTGGTGTGAGAAGTTTAAAGCGGTTTATGCGTTTTTTGGAAAAAGTCTGTCAAGTTGAAAAACCAAGCAGTGCAACGGTGAGGCCTTCTATTAAGGTTCTCTTGTTATTAAAAGTTAAAAGTTTGTACCGTCTAAAGATCCCCCGACAACTCGTTATTTTATTCATCAAGTTATAATGTTGTTTGTCATCATGATATGTGTGTTAAAGAAAAGAAAATTTCAGAACTTGTCAACGTTTGTGTGTCAAAGTTAAGATTTTTAATATTTTTAACTATCGGCCGCTTGACTGTGGGGTACTACGTCCAAGCAATTTTTGTAAGCGTTTCTTTCTTTCAGGAATTTTGTTTTAATTTTTCATTTCATGCGTTTCGGTATAAATTTTTGTTATTGTCAATCAATGTTATAACCACACTAAGGTACGCTAGCCACTTCCACTTCGAACGCGGGCGCCGGGAGGATAGAAATGGGGCGTGACTTGTAATATATAGATAGAACTGTTAAGCTGTAGAAGTGAAATAAAATCAAATATATATTTAGGAGATTACTCAGTCTGCTTGTAGGACAAACCCCACATAATAATCAATGAATGTTGTGTTTATTCGATCCTTTGTGTGATCCGGATAGAGTTTTCATGTCAGATTTTTCTCCTCGTGTTCAAGAATTCAAACTGAATGTCCAAGAGAATCAAATCGAAAAATGTTCTTCGAGTCAATAAAGTGTTGCCGTTCAATTTTTGCAGAGCAACACTATGCGAAAAGTTTTCAGCAAGATCCAAGATAACCCATTTTATACCAAAAATAACGAAGGAATTTATGCTGTACTTTTCCACCATATCAATGTATGTACAGTGTAACCTCGATAATCCGAATACACGCTAGTCCGAAATCGCGATAGTCCGAAAGACTTATGTGTACATAATTGTGTATGTACATACTGTACTCATAAATACATATGAATGTTAACTTAAGTTTTTTTACAAGGACAAAGTTTAATTTTGTTTTACGTGCAGTATTTAACTGACTTCTGTCCTTGGTCTGTTAAATTTATGTTTTGTTGAAAAGAATAAAGTTTATTTCTTAATACTTGTGTCCAAATTTATTATTTTCACTAGTTTCGCGATAATCCGAAAATTTGATAATCTGAAAGGTCGGTGGTCCGAATCTATTCGGATTAACGAGGTTGTCCTGTATATTGATATGGAAACCAGACTTGAGTTGAGAGCAATATTCTAGCATTGAATTTATTCTAGAGTGCATCTAAAGGCCCGTTTAGACTAACAAGAAAACTCGCGCGATTTACTGTCGGTCACTACTGTCGTAAGTGTAAATAACATTGCAAGTCCATTTTACAGAACTGGCGGAAGAATTCTCGCCACACTTTTCTTGCCAGTTCTCGCAAACTTTCTGTTTCGATTTTTCGGCGAGTACGTGCGAGTTTTTCGCAAAGAGTCTCCGCGTAGCGGTCAACTTTAGAACTATCTGTTTGAGGATAAAAATGGAAGTTCACGTATGTAATAAACGTGAATACACAAAAATAACAAAAATTATTGCTCAGTTCCTCAGTGTAGAAATGATTATGCGTGTAGTGTCTCAATGCACGGATTCCCCAAAAATGCTCTGAGTAGGAAAAAATGGAAAATTCTTTTACGAATAGACAAACCCATAACAAATACAATGAAAGTTTGTAGTGCTCACTTTACAAAAGAGGATTATATTTTACCAGGTAAGCGCAGTAATTTGATGATGTGCTTCTTTATGAATTTTACTTTTTTTAGACGTTGCACATAAACGTAAATGTTTAAAGAAGACTGCCTGTCCTAGCAGAAATTTACCTCAAATACGGCATCAATCGGCAGTTAATCATGAAACTAAGGCAAAACGTGAAGACCGCTACGTCCGTCGACAACAACTGTTAGAAAAAGCTGTGCGTTTGGAAGCAGCCGACACGCTTCTTTTATTAGCAAACACCGAGGCAAACACGCACACTAAAGAAGAAGAGCCGGTTAATTAAATGTGTTGTGACACTGAAAGTTCTTTGAATGTGTTGTACATATAAGGACGTTTCTGTTCAAGTAAATACGTATTTAGATCAGCGTGAGTTTAGCATTGCAGACATTATCAACAATGACTACAGAATTAAATTCTGCACAGGAATTTCCAATGTGACGTTGTTCAACGTAATCGCAAATACTTTAAGTGTACAGTTTGCAACAAGTAATAGGAACTATACCTTCTGTGTTCGCAAGAGGATTATTTTGTCGACTTTAATGAAAATTAAATGTTATTTTATGTGGATGGTCTGTTAATTTCGAGGTCTGCAAGCACAGTGCTACAATCGGATCATTTTGTTTACCACATAATATTATGTGTTTAGCTTCTAACACTGCCTTGCCTTCCTTCAAAGGTCGAATGCCAACACCCACATAGGTTAATAAGTCACTAATACTGATAATGTGCTTATTTCGAAAACGAAAGGTTTGTAAAATACAACTGATCTCTTATGTGATCCATACACAAATGAATCTGCTGTCCTCAAACAAGTGGCCACACTTATAAAGCACATCGCCCTCTCTTGATGTGTGCCATTGCGCACGTAAATGAGTATTCTGCTTCTTAAGTTTGCCTACCCCTTTGTAATACCAAGTATATCTGTGGTGATACTAATAACAGTTCCTCAAGGTTTACCGCTGACATACAAATAAAATTTCACCTTTTTGCATAAAACTACTACAGCTGCGGTAACAACGATGTCCTATTTGTGCCATAACGTGAGATAAGTACCTACTCGAAACAGCTGCTAGGCTAGGTATAAACCATAGAGTAAATAATATTACTCTATTGTATAAACTGACAGGCTAGCTGACAGCATTTGCGGAAGTTAAGAGTAGAGTGTAAACAGGTTACGAGAAATTGCGACAGCAATGGCTCACCCAACTTGCTCGACAGTTTATCGCGACACTTATTGCTCACAGTGCAAATACATGTGGAAGTTTCTCGCCTTAACAAACGAATAGTACAGAGATAAAAATTAATTGATTTCGGAATTGACTTGCGCTGCGAATTATAAATCCGAGTTGCTTTCGTGCCTTGTTGCGTATTATGCGAGTGATGCGTTCTTTAAAGATAATATTTTTAAAGTCCTCGTGTGAGATCGAAGAGATTTTTGTGAGGAAGATCAGTGTTTTTTAGCCATTATCAATAAGATCTCGTCGGGGGTTAGGTATCATATTCCCTTTGTCGGCAAGTAGAGTTTGATGTTTTGACTTCACCATCAAGAAAAGATATTATCAGGGGTTACCCCACATTCTCTTATGTCGATACACAGTTCCCGGTTCCGACGCCCCTTTTATTGGCAATTAGCATTTTGGTGGATTTCGCAAAAAACCCGGCACAAAATAGTACTCAATTTTTGGGTACCTACTTCGCATAGCTCGAGCTTCTTTTGGCGATACGAGAAAGAGAAACCGCGATTCGAGATTTAAGAAACCTTTGGACACCCAAAATCGACTACCCCTCGAAGCGCGCCTTTCAAAAAGTGGTTCATTTTGCCACTAGGAAAAAAAACAAAATTCCGCCACGCAGGAGTTGTGCGCGTTGACAAGATCTTTCCGATACACCTATTGAGAAACAATCGGAGAAAAACTGTAGAAGATAGACAAAAACTGAAAAACCTCCAGGTTAGTATAACACGCTCGGTGATGGCGCCCAGATGTCGCCGACCCAACATTTTGTAGTCTCGTTCCTAATGTTGTTAACTACACGGCCTCGATAGGCACATGTACGATGTACACCTCTTCGTCTTTTTACAAGCGTTCTTCTACGGGCTCGCATTTTGCTCACTTTAAATAAGTTCTCCTCAGTGAATGATATCGACTTTTTTGACGATCCTAATGTTTGTTCAGAGCCCCAGTGCCATGTAATTGGAATTTTTATATTCTGTGTGGTGTCTGGTTAAACAAATAAATAAATAAATTTACTGGCACATAGCCAAGAAGCCAGCTGCCCATAGTGAGATTAAAAGCTAATTTTTTTAC